GCCCCAGCCAACGGAAAGCCCCTTCCAGACCCTGCAGCTAAACTCTAATGCAGACATCTTCAGTCCTACCAGAAGTCACATTTTAGACATGAGTGTCAGCAATAGGGGTGATCTAGTACAAAGGAAGCCACAGGAATTCGATGGGAAGGTACTGTGGGAAGCATATAGAGCACAATTTGAATGGACGGACAGAGGAGCAGAAAGCAGTGTACCTGGCTACGAGCCTGAAGGGACAAACACTGGAAATACTTGGACAGTTGTCAGCAGATGATAGGCACAACTATAGACCATTGGTAGTTGCTCTAGAAATAAGGTATGGAACTCAAAATCAGTCCGAAGTCTACAGGGCTAGGTTTAGGACTAGAGGCTGTGCTAAAGGGGAGAGCCTGCAAGACCTGGCACAGGATTTGGAAAGTATGGCACACAAGGCATACCCAACTGCACCACCTGATGTTCTCAAGCTGTTGCTGAGGGATCAGTTTGTAGACACCTTGGACAGTCCACAACTGAAGATACAAGCGAAGCAAGCACACCCCTCTACCATGCAGGATGCAATGGCCAGAGCTCTTGAATTCGAATCCTATGTTAAGTCTAGCACAGAGGTACCAAGGTTGGTACAGTGATCAGGATTTAAGGGCAGCTTTCAGAAAAGTTTGAGGGACTTTGCTGGCATTGTAACAAACCTGAGCACAAGAGAGCTTAATGCTGGCAACTTCAAAACAGGGAAGATGCCACGGCAGGAAAGGCTGCTACCCAGAAAGGTTGTTGGAACTGTGGAGAGCAAGGACATATGAAGAGCCAGTGTAAGAAGAATTTCTACCGGAAACAAAAAACAAGCAGATATGTAGCAAATTGGTGTCAGAAATGGGATGGGACCCAATGTTGCTGTGTGGACTTCAGCGCTGTTAACAGTATAACCAAAAAGGACACATACCCACTGCCAAGAATTGATGATACTCTTGATGTTCTAAGTGGAGCCAGATGGTTTCAACTCTAGACTTAAGGTCGGGTTTCCATCAAGTAAAAATGGCTGAAGCAGATAAACCTAAGACTGCATTTAGTTATGACCAAGGTCTCTGGCAATACTGTGTGATACTATTCGGGATTAGCAATGCTCTGGCAACATTTGAGAGGCTGACGAAAAGAGTACTGGAAGGCCTACAATGGAGGATAGCCCTAGTGTACCTGGATGATGGCATTGTGTTTGCAGCAACATTTGATGAGGAAGTATCACAGCTAGAGGAAGTATTCAAGTGTTTGAAAGCAGCAAACCTCAAACTCCATCCCAAGAAATGCCACTTGTTCCAGAAAGAGGTGCTTTACATGGGTCACATTGTAAGTGAGCATGGTGTACAAACTGATCATGCAAGGTGAAAACAGTGCATGATTGGCCAACACCAAACAATGTGGGAGAGTTAAGAAGTTTCTTGGGACTCTGTACTTATTACCGGAACTTTTTGAAGGACTTTGCAACTATAGCTGCTCCACTACATGATTTGACCAAAAAAGGCCAGAAGTTTGAATGGACAGTTTCTTGCCAGCAGGCTTTCAAAACATTGAAAGAAAAATTGGCCTCATCTCCACTTTTAAAGCTTCCAGATTCCTCACTGCCGTACATACTGGATTGTGGTGCTAGTAATGTCGGAAATGGAGGAGTGTTGTCTCAGAAAGTGGGTGAAAACGAACATGTGATGGTCTACTTCAGTAGGGTCCTGAGAAGACCAGAGAGGAACTATTGTGTAACATGAAGGGAACTCCTTGCTACAGTCAAGAGTCTGACATATTTCCATCCTTACCTCTATGGGGCTAGGTTTACCATCAGGACAGACCATGCTGTATTACGCTGGTTAAGATCATTAAAGAACCCAGAGGGACAACTGGCATGTTGGATGGGAAAGTTAGACCAGTATAATTATAATATTGAATATAGAGATGGAAAATCCCATGGTAATGCCAATGGACTGAGCTGAAGACCCTGCAAACATGATGCAGACATTACTGCAAAAGATAGGTTGAACTAACCAGGTGCCATCAAGCTGAAGTCAAAGTGACTGAAGGAGTTGATGATGGTGAAGTGGAACCAGGTATAGAAATTAAAGCAGAATAGGAGAAAGACCAAGATTTGAAGCCAATAATTGATTTTCTCTTAGACGTGACTTTCTGAATAAAATGTGGTCGGCGAGGTAAGCCAATGGTGGTGCATGCCAACAGGCTTTGACATTATCATAGTCCAGGACATTTCAGTTGGAACAAAATGAACAACAGAACAAATGATGCTGCTGAAGACATGTTACCTGAAAAAGCCACTGTTGAAGAAGAAACTCTACTCGGTTTTGAGAAGGAAAACAGTGAAGCCGTTAATGAAGTTACTACCACTAATGTGAGTGCTACCGATAATTGGACATTTTCTGATAAAGCAGATGAATCCCACATGAAGCAGAAGCCAATGCGACAGAGACCAGTACAAAAGAAGAAACGTCCTGTAAAATTAAGAGACTTTGTTGTATTTTAATTTTGTGTTTGTAAATTCTGTACATTTAATTAAGTTATTGTTAATTATCTATTGGTTTAATGTAAGTGGCTATTGTTCAGGATGAACACTATTAAGGAAAGGGCAGTGTTATGACAGCAAAAGTCACGCGACTCTGGGAGCATGCATGCTGGAGTTTCTCGAAGGATCATGAATTATCGAGGAAGACCGAGTTTGTTCAGGACGCTTTTTAGTATATAAGCCTGGCGAGAAAAACTAGCGTGATCGAGAAATAGATAGATATAGGTAGGGGCAGTGTTACGACAGCAGAAGTTACGTGACGCTGCTGGTGCATGCATGACTGAATTTCTCGAATTTTTGGGGAACCCCGCGAATTTTGGAGAAGCCTCTTTGTTAGTACAAGCAGATATGTAACAATATCAGGTACTCCTCTATTCACCTTTTGGTCTTGTGGGAAAATACATTCTATGAAACGAAAGAATAACAACAATACTGGAAGATAAACTTTTCTAGCAACAACACAGTGATGGTGGTAGCAGAATGCTGTAAAATGGCACCACATTTTTCCAGGAAACCACACCATAGATTTCACAAGCAAAGTACTGCATTCAACCAGCAGAAAAGTAAGGCAAAATATTAATCAACCTTTTTGTACATTTAAAGGTTATATATTGAGCTTCTAGAGACCAAATCATAAAATATGTTTAAATAAATAGCCTAAGGTAATAACGAAGGCTAATTTAATTAAGTGACTTGCCTTACAAGAATCATAAAGCACTTGAAACTAGTAAAATTGTATCCTTGTTTCCATGGTACAACATATGAATAAGTGAGTTCAGTGGAATAAAATTTATCAGAGGACATTGAGGAACTATTTGATATTAACCTTACTTTTTTGTACATTGGTGTAATTAAATCTTCAGTATCCTGGGCTATGGTACTTGTCTAATTTTGAATTTAGTATTCCTTAAATATCAAGAATTCTAAAGATTTGAAACTGAATATATTCTGATTATAGGGACTGGATACATTCTGTCTGTAGTGTTAAGTGCATCCTAAACTTACTATGAAAAAAATAATGTAACTAAATGTATCCTGAATATATTATGACTGATAGCATTGTGAATATGGTTTCTGAGAGTATATTTAAAGTACTGTAGCTGAGTGCATCATAAATATGTTATGATAGTGTACCCTGAATGAATGCCTCAGTGGATTTTGAATAAAGTAATGTATTGCATCTTCAGTTTACTGTTACTGAGTGAACCATGAGAATGTGTTGTGAATTTGTTTGCTGCTAAGCATAAGTTTACACAATGGGCTCTTTGTGCTGTGCCTACCACGGGTATTGAAAGACTTGCCACTGAACCACTAGGGGGGTTTGCTATTTTGTGTATATCATAAGCTTATTGTACAGAGAGCATTCTGAATTTATGAACTGAAAAATTCATAGCATAGTGACTGAATGTAGACATGACTTAGAAGTATCATAGTGTGGAAACTGATAACATTCTGATTACAATATGTGTGTGATTGAGTGTGTATTAAAGTTACTGTATCTGAGAACATTTTTAACATGAAAAATGAACATTTTATGACTGAGTACACTCAGATTAGTACATCCTGGTTATAGTGACTGAGTATGTGCTGATAGTAGTCAAAACATGAAGATAATGACTGAGTGTATTGTGAATACATAAAATGATTGTGTCTTGAACAATTTACAATCAGCAACTCTGCTGCAATTTTGGTTAATTGTTTTTTTCCATTTTTTCTGAGAAAAACATATTATTTCCTTATAGCTCATCCTATTCATATCAAACTTCAATCTTTCTTCCCTACAATTGTGATGAGTGAGAGTTTAGGATCACTAGAAGTTGAAATGGATAATGTCCCCTGGTGGGTTAGCAGTAAGTTTATAGACTTGCAGAAATCCAGGGTTTAATTCCCCACAGTGGAAAGAGTGAATATAACCAAGTTTGTAGATCTGCACTAAGAAAGCAAGAACAAATGGATAATAAAGTTATATATATACAACCATACTGATATGAAGCTTTAACAACTTCCAAAAACAGGATATTCATTATGGGATTGTTATCTACTTTCTTTACTTCTTTTTGAAAGATATGGGCATTATTATAATCTTTTAATGTAGACACGGAGTATATTACTGTACACTTTACGGTACTTTACAGATGTAGTGTTTAACTAACTTATTACAAGTGGCATTAACTTATGAAGCAGTTTAGAACTGATGATATTTTCTTTACTTCAAGATCCAAGGAGTCATCAGCTCAGCACTGGGAATCAAATTCCTTTGTGATACTGAAGAAATCTTGAATTTGAATGATGTATCATCTGTGGATCACATTGTAAAGAACATCCCAAAGTTGTTGTATCACTTATATTTTAAATTTATTGGGATAGAAGGTGAGTTTGAATACACTCCAAAAAGAATGTAAGAATTCATGTTAAAAGTTTGACTTGTCTATGTATGTTCTCTGAAAAGCTAAATAATAACATTTGTGAACATGTAAAATTCTGTATTGATTCTCAGGGCACAGTTGATTCATATTGTTGAAAACTAACCAACTAAGAGTATTTTTAAATTAGCCTCAACTACAATAGAAAGTAGAAGCTAAATACATGTTGACTGACTTTTTTAATTTGAATTTTTAAATCATTGTTGTATCAAATCTCTTTTAGTTTGTCTAATTAGGCTGAGCTCTTCATGCAAATTTTGATAGAAATGAAGTTTTGTATTTTGTAATTAAGCTTTCAGTTCCATTCTTTGGTATGGAAACATTTATAATTTTTTTAATGTTAGTTACACTCTTCCTACACATTTTAATTAAAATAATTTTATATTTGTTGAAGTGGGATATTTTATAATTCAATATTCTCACATTAAAAGAATTTTTGTTCAAGTAAAGGAGATTCTTCATTTTTTTAGCTCTACGTTACTTACATTAAAATGATTTTGGAGCCTCACCTACATTTTATGTCACTACATCCAGTCCTGCTCTATCTAACAGCTGTGCATTTTCACAATTACTCTGCAGCATGGTTGTTGAGCTGTCAAGTCCAAAGTCTACCACTCCTCCTTGAATATGAGAGTGGTGGTTTCCCAGTGCCTGTTCCAACAGTCTGATTACACAGAAGTCTATAGGTGCTGCCTCTGGTGATTTAACCAGTATGTTTCCATGTGGAATAGCATGAATACTTATTTCATTTACTTGACAAAGAATAAATTTTTATTTGTTATTTTGCTCTTTCATTGAAAAATGTTTTATATATATATATATATATAAGTAGGACTCTTCCTATTCTTTCTGAATGGAGAAAATAGAAGAAAAATGATGCAACTCCCCAGTCATAATTACAGTTTCATTACAGGAGAATTGGACGTTTTTTAAGTGATTTGATAAAATGCATTTTTTTTTAAATGCTAGAGAGAAAATAAGTATCCTACAATATTTATATTATTCGTATAGTATTAGTAGAGAACAACTAAGTAATTTTCCAGATTGAATTTAGTGCTCAAGAATAAATATTATTTTTCAGTAATTATAACTTAGAACAACGAAAACTTTAGCAAAGATTAAAGATCATTCTTCAAACTTTAAAAGCAAGTAAAGACATGATCAATAAAACGATGTCTTAACTCTGGTTGTTTTCCCATAACGTAATTGCTTGAATTGTCATCCCTTTATATTCATGTAGGACCTGGAAAAGGTAAGAGTCACCTTTGTTATGGTTTTGTTTACCATTAATATATTATTCCTTCTATTGTTTAGTTCAACTATGAATGCTTATTTATGTTAAAGTGCTAACTCACTTCTATCTAGAGCACATTGATTTTGATTATGTATGTATTATAAGAGCTTTCCCTAGCAGTGACATACATATTGTTACGACAGCGCGGGTCATGTGACGCTAGTAACACGTCATATTCTCGAACG